AGTATTACTTCGAGTGGTATGCGGGTTAGAGAATCATCCCTCCCAAAACCCTGAAGTTGGAATGGTTAAAAAATGATGGGTTTAGCTTCCCTACTTTGCTAGAGCACCAAGACCTTGGAACGTTCTTGGAACTGGAAGGACCCTACTACCCTGAGCTGGTCAAGCTGTTTCTCTGCTTTGCTACCAACAATGAAGGGATAATGCAATCAGTTCTGAAGGGCAAGCTGATAAAGCTTGACGGACCAACCTTGAAGGCGGCTACCAGGCTGAGAGGCAATGGGAGTTCCAAACCCCAACCCTTCAACTTTGGTGATTTTGAGGAGCTAACAACCTTCAGAGACTGTTAGAGAAATTCTGAGAACACCAATTACAACAAGTTCTTGGTGGGAGGTATGAAGAAAAATTCCCGTTTGATTTCTTTTATTATTGCCTGGATGATTAAACCACGTTTGCACAACCATGCTCAAATGTCAAGGGATGACATTTTGTTAATGCATGTGATTAAGAAGAAAATTAAGATTGATTAGGTGTCAGTGGTGAATGACTGCATGTGGAAGGCAAGAAGGAAAGAGGATGGTCCAATTCCTTATGCCTTGTTGTTTTATAAGATTTTTCGGAATACAGGGGTAGAATTGATAGGGGAGAAGAAAATTATTCTCCATGCTTCTAACAAAATTGAGAAATCTTCCTTGCATCACATGGGGATTCTAAAACAGGAAGATAAATGGGTATTCAAAGGAGATGTCCCTCCAACCCCTGAACCGGCAACAGATGAGGATGGCGTTCCATCTCATGATGAGGACCAGCCACCACAGGTCGAAGCTGAACCTGACAGAGAGCAAGAGGCGGAGCCTAAACCATTCTCTCCATTCGAGAAAATTATGATAAATAAGCTTGATGCTGTTATGGAGATGTCTAGAAGGCATGAGTCAATTTATTCGAGTATTCTTGATCGGTTTGATACCCTTGATCATGAGATTAACCGACTCAAGACTCATCTTGGGATGCCTGAGGACTCGGAGTGATTAGTGCTCTGTTCTATTTTTTAATTAAGAAGTTTAAATTTCTAGTTTTTAAAATTTCAATTTCGATTGGGTTGTAATCATTTTAATTTCGGAACAATTTTATTGCTTTATGTTGTTGAACAATTTGATTTCAAGTGAAATTTGAAGTTTAATTTATGATATATTGTGTTTGAATGATTCTGATTTGGTTGATTGTTGGTATAATGTTCTGTTTTGAACATTGATATATGGTGTGATGTTCTGTTTTGGACATTGATATATGGTTCGTTGATGTTTGGTTAGCATAATTGATAATTTTTTTGGACTCTGAATTCTGAATTGTGGATTGTATTTTGTGATTTTGGCTGACCAATTCATGTTTTTGTTGCTGATCTGATGATTATGACTTGGATATTATGATTCAAGTTCACAAAGTTTTTTTTGGCTGACCAATACCTATGTTATGATAAATCAGTTTTTGGTATTGCTCTGAGCATATAAGGAAGTGTGCATGAAGCTTATACTTCTGGACATAACAATGTTGGTTTGTTTTTGATGATGTCCAAAGGGGGAGAAAGGTTTTGTGCTTGGTTTGTTTTGCAGGTTTTGAATGTGAAAGAAAAGGCAAAGCAAAATGGACAAAATGGCTTGGCTTAGCTTGGTTTGTCATCATCAAAAAGGGGGAGATTGAGATTGTTGGAATCACCTCTGAAGTTTAAAGGTTTTGATGATAACAAATATGTGGAACAAAGCTGATCAAGGACATCAACAACTTAGAAGTCAAAAACAAAGTCAAAGAAAAATGTTATGTAATAGGAATAGCTTATAGATTGCTTTTATTGAGTTTATATTTTTTGTGTGCTTTGTGCATAAGCTAATCTGTGTCTAATCTAATTGGGAGTGTGTATGATGATGAGTTTAAAAGGTTAAAAAGTTATTTTGAGACTTAAAATAGAGTTTTGAAAACTAACTCAAAATAATCGATTATCATTAAATATAATCGATTATTCCAGCAATAGGCAAAAAGGATGCCTTGCTGCAATAATCGATTATTTGTGAAATAATCGATTATCCCAAAAATAACTTTCTGGAATAATAGATTATCCAGCAAAATAATCGATTAAATTGTTCTTGGTTGATTTCTAGAAATCATGAAGAACAAAATAATCGATTATTCTTTAAAATAATCGATTATCTGGTTCTGAAAAACTTATAAATAGTTTGACCATTTTGAAACTTCAGAACATAGTTAGAATTGAGAATCAAAATTAGAAAAACGTGTTTGTGAAGTCTTTGTGACATTCTTGGGGAGTTTTCTTTGTGAAACCAAGAAGAAAACCGTTTTTTGGAATGCTTTGAGAAAAGATCATCATCATCACATTCTTGAAAGGAAAGAGATTAAGATTTGCTTCTAAATTCTAGGCGAATTCGTTCCTTAATTCTTTGTGAATACTTGTAAATCTTGAGTAGGATTACTTGATTTACTTTTTGAATTGGAAGGTAACATTTGAAAACTCAAGTACACAAAAGAAACCTAACTCTAGGAATTCATCCATGATCTAATGATGAATATGAACTCAAAGATGTAAAGGAAAAAAGCACACAAGCAAAGCACACATGATCAACAATGAGTCTCGGCCAACACTCTAAAAAATTTTCAGCATATGAACACAAGCACATCTTGAATATTTTTGAAATTTTAAAGGACTAAACATGACTTGACAAAACTAAGATAAAAAAATAACATCAAAACACATGCATACTAAATGAACTAGCCGAATCAAATCAAGGAGATAAGCAATGACTCAATCAAACAAAAAAAAAAACACAAGTAGAATGCCTAATTTGTAGTAATTGCCGGATTGAACACAAGTGACAATCACTAACTTGGATCCATCAAATTTAAACCAAAAATTTGGATCCAAACGACACAACCAATGTGAGACATAGGAGAACACAAAAACACAAAAATATTCGGTGAAAAGAGATTACTTAGCTCAAGGAAGAAATCTTGCTCATGATACCACTTGATGGAGTTAGGTTGAAGCAATGGATGGATTCTTGCTTCTTGTGACCTTCTCCGAATATGAAGACCTTTTCCTTGAGCTTGCAACGGATTAAAGGATGGAAGAAAATGAATGGAATGGTAGGAGAATCCCTAAGCTAAGGATGGAAGCATCCAAGCTAAAGATCCAAATGAAAGCTCACTTTCAAGCTTAGGAATGCAGGTTTTCCTAAGACTAGGGTTAGTAAGATTTCGATGACTCTTGGAGAGAATTTGGCTGAAGTAAAACTCAGAAATTCTCATTAATCAAAAGTGTTTACAAAAGTGAAGGAGTCAAGCATTTAAAGCCACGGATCAAAGGAGTCTTTGGAGCCATCACATGTGCACTCAAAAGTGGCGCCAATTTTGAATTCAAATTTGAATTTGAATTCAAATTGGACGTCCACTTATCCTAACCCATGTGCAGCCCTTCCTTCTAGATTCTTAATTGCATTTAGAGGTAATTTAGGGTTCATTTGAATGTACACATGTGCAGCCACCTTTGGCACAAAACATGTGACTCAAATGAAACTCTAATTACTCCTAAATGTAATTAACATTCTATGATTCATGCTTTATTACTTAATCCTTCTAAATTCCTATTCTAATGGCCTAAATACAATGGCCAAGCAAATACAATGGAAAGGAAAAATTACAAGAATTAAAATGAGCCCAATATTGGGTACCAAAAGCCCAAAGTCCCATGAAGCCCAAAACTAGGCCCAATAAGCCTATAGCCTAAAATACTATCCTAGATGGTCCATAATACAAGACCCAAAATATAGGAAACCTATACTAACATGATATATACAAGATATAAGAAAAATAGCTAACCAAATATGGCCCATGAGAAGCTCAACTTGGGCCTTTCAAGCCCATTGGGCCCATTGGGCCTTGACTGGCCCAAACCTTCATGTCTAGCCCATTCCTCTTGGCTCTTTCAATGTGTCACCCCTTGCCTTCCTAGGCATGATTCCATCAGGCTGAACCAGGATAAAAGATTTGTGCAATCTTCTCTCACCTTTATCTTTTACTTTGTGTAATATCTTGATTGTATATTAAAAAAGATTGTTCTTGATTAACATGTTTGCATGAGCAACATTGGTTTGAACTGAATCAAAGTATTACATATTGTTCTTAACTTTGAATCTCATTATTGGTTTAGGGTTTATTAAAAAAAGTAATGACCTCATTTTTTTTTTCAATCTTGGACTTTATTAAACCCTTACAAAATATAATAACACCCCAAAATTAGCCTTAATGTAATAAATAACATTCCAAACGAATATGACTTAAAATAAGCTCTATATCAGATTATCAATGAGTAGCAAAAATTTAAATAATTTTCAAATCATGTCCAAGTAACTTCAGTTATAGAAATTATCAGATCATGAAAAGTAAAGAGTTTGTCATTTAGTATTTTCTCCTTTTATTAAAAAATGGTTAAATAATAAATCTGATTGATACCAATAAATATTGTTGTAGATTACACGTGTAGTTGTGAATACAGGTGAAATAAAAAATATTGTATGAATTCTAGTAAAAAAACAAATTAAAAATATCTATAAAAAATCATTGATTAATTTAATAAACCATTATTTATCAATAATGGAATATAGAAGACAAACATTATAATTATTGTTTAATTTAAAAAAAAATATGATCGGTAAAATTTTATAATGATTCTGTTATATTATAAGCTAAGTGCATGTTTATTAGCATAAATAAATAAATAATAAACAATTTAACCAAGTGCATGTATTTGGTGTTCATGGATGGTATAGAATAAGCCCGAGTGCATGTTTATAAGAAAAAGAAAATAAACCAAGTGCATGGGTGATATGTAAAGCAGAAGAAAAGACGCAAAAAGTCAGTGAAAATGTGGCAAATAGAAGGCCGACACGTGCAACTGATGGCATATAAATTCAGAAAATGGGGATTTGGCGCAATTTGGCATTCACAACACAGCATTTTTCTAAGCAGCATAGGAGAGCATAGCAGTAGCATCTATCTACTTCCTCGCTTCCACTTCCAACTCACTCAGGTACTCTTTTCTTCGTCTCTTGATTTACAATGCGATAAACTAATGCCGAAAATGTCTGAGTTTTTCGTATATCGCTTTCGCTCTTCCTTGTGTATGTGGCTGGTGAGGTAAACTAGGGTTTGTGTGGGAGAAAAAGAAAGGATTTCTAATTTGTATTGAACTAAATGTTTAAACCCAATTTGTTGATTGCTGTATGTAGCTTTATGGATTCTGTAGATCTGTGCAAAGATTTAATGAAAGATATTACTCCTCCAAAGGTCGCCACCGATTGTGTGGTTCCTATAACCCCTGACGCCGTGACTGAGAATGGGGATTTTCAATCCCAATCCCCTCTCACACTCTCAGTGGTCAGAAAACAACTCAAACTTGCCACCATTGATTGTGATTCCGAACGTTGCTCTGTTGAAAACATCGTGAATGGCGTAGGTAGCCCCAGAACTCCTAAAGATGGGGTTTTTGACCCCTTTGCACCTGGTCATGATAACATGGCTAGGGCACCCAGCATTAACAAGTATCTTGACGAGTACAGGTCCACCGTGGCTCGCCGACTTAATTTCCACCCGTCATTTGATGTGCTTCAAGTGGATGGTGACACTCTTTCAGACGAGGACATGGTTGAATCAGTGTACGAGAATCTTTTGCAAGTTATTGTTTCTAAGCAAGCTGAGGGGCTTCTTGCTCAGAAGTCCAACCGCTGTGAATCGCCTCCTTCCGTGTTCCACTTCACCGGAATTGCGGATACTTGCCCTGCTGCACCTATGAAACCTGCCGGTAAACCTAGGAACATTCAACTGGGGCTGTGCAAGAAGCTTGAATTCTGACACAAAGTCAACTATATCTAGATCTAGACTAGACCTGTTACACATCATATTCAGTCGGAAACTGCATTTTGTGCTGCTAATTTGATTTTGTATCTCTAATTTTTAGCTTAGCTTGTTCAGGGATAATGTAGTTTTACAGGGCACAGTTGCATCTGACCAAGCTGGTACATGTAGCAGCTATTTTGTATAGCAAACTAATGATGTTAGTTTATTTTACAGTGAATTATTCTCCAGTTTTAACTCGAACGGATATTTTCTTTTTTTAGTTGTAGTTGGTTGGTGGTTTTTTATTTTATTTTATTTTATTTTTTATTGCAATTATGTTCTGTAAATCATGTTACTAAACTAATTATAATATCTTATTTTGACTGCCATTGTTCAAGCTCGAATGATATTTCCCTCCGCCCAATCATCATGTTCTTCCCAACCAACTGATATGTTATTTAAGATATTCGCTCCTTATAAGTGGTTTGTGTCTGATTATTGGTGTGAATGAAGACATCCTTAATGACAGTGAAATCTCACCCCCTCTAAAATGTCTCAGCTGAAAGTTGGAGTGATGCTTGACTTGGCGTTTCTTCCTTCATCTTGATTGGGAAGAAATTTAGAACTAGATGATTGAAAAGCTGGTGCGAGGAAATCTGTTTTGTTTCTGCACAATTGTTTTTCTTTCTTTATATAATTTTACTACTTTGGTATTGCATGATGGATGTCAAGTGTCATGTGTTGTGGTTTCAGTTCTATCTAATTGGGAAATGTAAATCCTTTTCTTTTCTTTTTTCATATGGGAAAATTGTCATGTAAGATTAACTAAGTCGAAAGGATATTGATAATTACAACCCAAATACTAGAAGAGAACTTTATTGCAGCAAACGTTGGGAGTGATATATACGGTAGAGACTTTAAAAAGAAAATTCAAGTCTATGGCAACTGGAGAAATAAATAATGAATGTCTTAAGCGCTTGAGAGTATGTTTGGTTATCAGTTTGAAATCACGTTCAACGGAAAAACACACGTTTCAATGTAGAAAAAGAAAAAGCTTGTGAGTGTAACTTTTTTTTTTTTGCAACCTTAGTTGAGTTGAATTCAAGTAGTTTCCAAACACACCCTAAATAATAGTGTTACAAAAAAGTTGTAAGTGTAAACCTAGACTAACATAAATTTATGATACCATTGAAAGATTGGATAGTAAATCAAGTGGGATGATCGAAAAGATTGTCTATATCCATCAAGATTCTAAAGTGTATGTATAGTCAGTCCCATAACCATGCTTAGCCTTTATTTTCTTTATAGTTCATCTGTTAATTTTTTACCTCGAGTGTTGAAAAGGTTCATGGTGTCCACGCAAAGAGTTCCTAACTATTAGTGTACTATCCGTACCGCGAAGCTGAGCTTTAGCTCGGTTTCACAGTGCAGGATGATCTCGGATGCGCACCTCGTACATGCACTGGGTGACCTCGGCCAAGACGAGGTTCGCTATCTAAATAGATCATAACTGATCTCAGGCCCAAGGCCCAAGAAAACCCTAATCCACACAAAGGTACGTGCATTACTTATACGAGACTCATACTCCCACAAACACTAACTTTAGCATCGGAGTTTCTTTTGCAGGTACCACCCCCATCTTGGAGCACAAAACGTACCAGCGAAGGAGGCTCGCCGATCTTATCCCGCGGATCATCTCTACGACAAATCTCTGGTAAGAACATTTGGCGCCTATCGTGGGGCAGATCAAGATAGCTCTCATCGGCCACGCTTATGGTTGTCATCAAAAGCCATAGCAGACGCGCAACAGACGACCTAGATCACGCAACTAGCATGGACAACGAAGCAGCATTGAGGAGACTGATCGAACAGGTCGAGCAGATGCGGCAGCAACATGTCGCTATCTGCAAAGCATGCGTGCCAAGCACGAAACTGACCTAGCAGCGATGCATACCGCTAATGAAGTTGACCTAACGGCACTGCACCCTGAGAATGAGCGTATTCGTGCTCAGCTCCCTCGGCGTCCCTCTGATCAACCCCCTCAACAGAGTAACCTACACGAGGAGGAGGGGCACTCGGTTTCTCAACTGCCGACAACAACTAGGGCACCGACTCCCAGGGCTGCCACACATCGGTCCCACGCACTGACGAACAAGTTGACCCATGACGTCAGCAATGCTCCTACCCACGTCACGGTAAATCAAGCGACCTTCCGCCGTCATCCTTTTATGGATGGCATCATGGAAACACCTCTCCCTTTCGGGGTGGAAGCCTCTCCACATCGATCGTTACGACGGCACGACGGATTCGAACGAGCACATCGACCTATATACTACACAGGTAAACCTTTACACTAATGAGGATGCTATTATGTGTAGGGTTTTTCTGACCTCGCTCAAGGGGGCTGCACTCAACTGGTATACTGATGGAAGTACTTGGAGAGTGATCGGAGCCGTATCCGGTCAAATAAATACAATTAAC